CAGTAAGTGCTAAGCTGCAGCTAGATATAAGCAATAAGTTGTGTATTATTGCACAGTAGTGACGACTATAGGAAACAATTATATGCTATATATTTCAGAAGGCTAGAAGAAGTAATTTTGAAAGTTTTCACCATGAAGGAATGATAAGTATTAGAGAAAACACATGTGCTTAACATGATTTAAACATTACATAATTTACACAATGATCACAACATTTTGTCATGTCTTTTAATATGTGTAATTTTGTATATCAATTGAAATAAATTTAAAACTTAATATATCCAGAGGCTCATAAATTATAGACAACTCAAAGAAAGTATTTTAGGATATAACATTAGAGCTGCGACATAAATGCTGAATACGAGTGTACGGGGTGGGTAGTTTGAGAAGGCAGAATTAGCCAGGTGAAGGAATCAGCAAGTGCAAAGTTCTTAGCTGGAAAGTGTTCAAGTCCTTGATAGGACTCAAAGAATGTCTGATTCACTGATCTAACGCATGGTGCAGTGCAGGCCAATAGTACATGCCTGTGAACACTCAATGAGTGATGGTTGAGTGGAGCCTGACCAGCGAATCAGAATCTGTCAGCTGGCTTTTCTGTGTGTCTCCCTGACTCCATTTCGGCCATCTACATAGAACACTCTCATCTTACCACATACATCTACTGAAATATGTTTTAATGCATGCAATGTAAGAACAGCTAAACCAGCTTCCCCCTGAAAAAGGTTCACCACCAAACTAACAAGAAGCTGTAAGGGGTGGCTGACTCCAGGCTTGTTGGATCCAGGAGCTGAGGGATAAATGACATAAACAAGATATGATCTACCCCCTTGCTCTACTATATCTACTTGTTTGACCTCCTTGCAGGAATATGACTCATTAATAGTAACACAGACAGTAGGCCCTCTTGCTTGGCTCTCCGCCCCTGCACAGGGAAAGACTTTTTTCTTCTGGGAATACAGATTAGGCTGGGAATACCTTTTCCTAAGTGGTTTTTAATTAACTCTTAAAGTAGGTTTAAACTCTGTGGATTTACTTAATTATTATAATCAATTTAATTATAATTTTAAAATATTTATATTTTTATTTTGGTGATTTGTTACAATGAAAACACTCTGGCTTGAGGTGACATAATACATGTCTGCAATCCCAGAACTCTGGAGGAGGACCGCAAAGAGTTCAAGGTCAGCCTTGGCTATACAATGAGTTTAAGGACTGCCTGAACTACATAGTAAGACTGTCTCAGAAAAAAATCAAATACAATCTGAAGAGATAAATTTACATTTACCACTGTCTTAGTTACTTTTTACTCATTGCTGGGACAAAATACCAACACCCAAAATGAAGGAAGGAAAGGTTTATTTAGCTCACAGTTTGTGGAGGTTTCAGTCCATACCCCGCTGGCTCCAAGGAAAAAGGAAACAGGTCCTAGTGGCAGAAAACAGCCAAGAGCAGAGGAGGAGCAGCAGCTGCGGCGTCCGTCAAGACTCTTCCTTCTATGCTGACTGCGAAGACTCATGCCCCAGATCGGAGGGGCAACCCTGCAAAGTGGTTCAGTGAAGACCGGGACTTCACCAAGGAAGGGGGCGGGTGCAGAAGCCTTCCTCCTTTGTATACCCTCTTTGTGCTGAGTCGCTCTGGGGGACGTCCTCCCTGCCCTATGGTGGACCCTCCGGACCCGCCCTGCCCTGTAGGCCCAGGTTGTGGAACCACCAAGCCAATCCAGCCAAGTTGACACAATGTGTCAACCACTATAACCACCAAAAATATACAAAAAACCTGAATTTATCGCAGTGTATGTACCCAAACGCAGACAATGCATGGCTTCACTCATTGTTTAGAGAAATACAAACAAAGATGCAGTATTAAATCATTAACTACATAACAATAAATTAATAGTAGTATACTGTTGTAATATTTTTTACTTATCTCCTGTTGCTGTTTGCAATAGCTGAAGTGTGCTGAGTATCCACTTAAATAACCAGGTATGCTAGTTATCGTCACCTTGGTAGTTCACCTCCAGTAACTTGCATGTGGCAGTAAGAATTGACTTCTCATGATTGTCACCCATTCCTCACCATATAAAATATCTAACAAACAAATATCTAACATGCAAAATACATGTTAACTGTGTTATTCACAAGTCTTCCAGTAGACAGAAAGCTATTAGTTAAGTTTTTAATGAATCAGAAGCTATAGGGAGGCCGGGGAGATAGCTTAGTGGAATAAGTGTCCGCCTGGCAAGCGCAGGGTCCTGAGTTCAATGCCCAGTACTGCATAAACAAACAAATAAACAAACAAACAAATAAATAGAGAAGCTGCACAGCGCACTCAACCAAGACAGCGGCGCTGTAAAAACTACATTACCCACAATGCCACCGCCGAGTGGCAACAGCGTAAGCCAATAAGCGATCGGGAAAGAGCCGTTTCCGGGTTGGGCCCGGAGGTTCGGGGCGGTACTTCTTGCCAAACTGCGGTTCCGGCCTCAGAGCGGCTCTTGGGTGGCTTCCCTGTCAGGGCTTCGGGCCTCGAGACCGAACGAGGCTGCGTCCGGGAGAGGCGCGAGGGAGGGCTGGCCCGAGGCCCCGCTGGTCCGGGGCGTGGCGCGGGGGAGCGTCCTGCGGGGCTCGGGGTCCCTGTACCCGGGTCCCGCTGCGCAGTCGGATCAGCGTTAGAGCAGCCCGGAAAAGCGAGAGCGGCCCAGAAGGCCTGACGGCCCGCGGCGGCTGAGGCAGGCCCGAGGGCGATGCAGGCGCCCGGGGTGCCCCACGCCCGCCGGCCGCTCGGAG